TCGGGTTATATGACCGTCTTCAGAGACCATCTCAACGGTTAATTAGATGGTGTCTAGACTAAAATACACACGAAATGCTGATATATATTATCGAGTCAATGCATTGCTAATTGTTTATTTTAGACTTATTGTAATTTGAATATATGTTTTAGTGTGCTATAAATCAAACATGAACATGATATGACAGCTAATGCCACTTTAATAAAAGACAAAAATAGTTAGAAAAAAATCATCAGTTGATTATCTGCCCTTGATTTGAACGGGTTTTTTTTTAAGGTATTTATTGATATCTCTAAAAAGTATAAAAGATACAAAAAACAATCAGGACGGTAATGTAAGTATGAATGAAAGGAAGCCACATGTAAATTTTGGGATCGATCCAAAGTCGGAAAACAATAAAAGTCTTATACTCCGGTCAACAATGTACACAGATATTCCCGTTATTTCTAAACAAAGTTCATTTTTACTTCAAGAAATACCTTTTTGCACCCAAATTTGTATTGAAAACTTGAAAGAATATACTTTTAGGTCAAATCAATGTAAAATAATGTTCATGTTTGCATTCACAAAATCTATAAAATCTGTATTTCATGAACAGAGGGAAAGACGTTTTTCATAATATGTATATTTTTTTCCATCGGTATGCTTCGACATTGTTATTTTATTTATATCAATTACATATAATTATTATATTACTGTGTTTTAACTTGTACATATGCTATGCAATCCAGTACAAAAAAAGGTAGTAAGCATCTGCTTTTCCTTTGAGCGGACCGCCATTTTAGAAATAGGCGACCTTTACGACGGACTCTAAAAGCGCGACGTCATCATACTGTTACGACACTATAGTAGCGCCGAGAGCGATGCGTATAAACAATCCTAACTATCCTACTGCCAGCCGATACTTTGGCATTGCACAAGTCATGTCTTCTTTGACTGTCCATGGCGTTAAAATCCTAAATCCCTGGAAGTGTTTTAATTGATTTTAGTCTCTGATGCATGATTTTTTATTATTGTTTTTTGGCTTTTAACTAGCTTTCAGTAACTGCGAGTACTCTCAAATCGTACTTTCTTGTTAATTAGACGTGTTGACACAATTTGTAATGCATTTCTGTTATTCAATGTTTACATATTAATTTTGTGTTTATATATATCTCGTTTCACTATTTTTAATATGTACCACTTTTGATAAGTATTTAGTATGACAATACATTTTCACTTCTGTACTCGTACTGTGAACAACATTTATTTTGTAAAAAATGCTTCCGTACTCCTAGCAACAAAATCATTATATTTAAATTTACCTGTGTACGTTATTTCATTTAACACCATTTTGTCCCAGCTTAGTAGATATGTCCTATTTCGGTGCAAAATATAGTTAGCATGCATTTTGTGTCCGGGGATACATGGACACGTATGTATGGCATCACCAAAAAGAGTACAAATATAAACAGCGTTATATCTATATATAAACAATCAATAAGAGTGGATACAGTTACCCAGTGCTATTTCTTATATAAAACTTAAGATTCAGGCGGACACAGCTGGACACATCGTTATTTCTATATAAAACATATAAAAACTATTGACTACAGACGTCACGGGCACAAGTGGACACAACGATATGCCTTTATAAAACTTAAAGAATTTGCTGGCTACAGGCGGACACAGCTGGACACAGTGCTATTTCTATATAAAACATATAAAAACTATTGACTACGGGTGGACACAAGTGGTCACAACGTTATTTCTATATAAAACTTATAGAATCTGCTGGCTACAGGCGGACACAGGTGGACACAGAGCTATTTCTATATAAAACTTTAAAAAATATTGGGCTACAGGCGGACACAACGTTATTTCTATATAAAACTTATAGAATCTGCTGGCTACAAGCAGACACAGCTGGACACAGTGCTATTTTTATATAAAACTTTATGAAATAGGGGAATATAGGCGGACACAAGTGGACACAACGTAATATCTATATAAAACTTATTTAATCTGCTGGTTACAGGCGGACACGACTGGACACAGTGCAATTCCTTTATAAAAATTATAAAAACTGGGGATACAGGCGGACACAAGTGGACACAACGTAATTTCTATATAAAACTATAGAATCTGCTGGCTACAAGCGGACACAGCTGGACACAGTGCTATTTCTATATAAAACTTTATGAAACAGGGGGACACAAGTGGACACAACGTAATTTCTATATAAAACTTATAGAATCTGCTGGCTACGTCTAGTATAATTATGTTTATCGCTTCGTGTTATCTGTACATCTGTATTAAAATTGAGAATGGAAATGGGGAATGTGTCAAAGAGACAACAACCTGACCATAGAGCAGACAACAGCCGAAGGCCACCAATGGGTCTTCAATGTATTAGTATAGTAGTACGGTCAACTGCAGAATAAATTGTAATCAGTTGATTAATTGAAATTAACATTCCCCCCGAAACAGAGGAATCCTGTGGGATATTGGTCAGCGGAAAAGAAACCCAACAACTAAAGACAGAAAAGGACAACTTTAAATTGTATATAGATAAATAAATGTGCTGGTTTTTTTTTCTTTTTTTTTAATTATTAATGATTTAAATAATAGATTCATTTTTGTAATAACACACAGCATTACACTGGAACTATTTGAATATTAAATATTGGTATTGGTGTTTTAGATGGATGTGTCCGGTGCCTACACAATGCCAATACGAATTTACAGTATAATTTGTGTTCCAGAAAATTGTATTAAATTAAAATTTACATTTGTGGCATTTAACATTAGAACACCGTCATTTGTATTAAATTAAGTCTTTAAACTGAATTAGTATATTCAATATTTATAATTTATCCGGTTGTTTCCGTGTGTCCGGCTACAAAATGCATGTCAACTATTTTTTGCACCGGAACCTTGCCACTTATCATAAACATGATAAAAACGCGGACATTATCGAGTGCAAAATAACATTTCCTTATCGCTTGTTTTAAATTCATTTTTTCAAGGATACGCCTAAAAATACTTTTTTAGAACATAAATTAATAATATGAAAATGTTTTGTCGCTAGAAATATATATAAATAAAAAATCTTTAATATCTATGCACACGTACAGAAAAAGTGTGTTAACGCATGCGGAAGAATATCTCAAGAACGTTTGCAATCTCCCATGCAGAGTAATCGGTCTTTGCTCTCTCTCTCAAGGACCGATAACTCTGCATCGGAGATTGAACGTTTGGCGGGAAAATATGAATGCCTACTCAAATCCAATCTATTAGAAAAATCGAATTATTACAGAAGAGTGTCCACCATGCACTAGCACTGCACTATTATTAATATAATAGAATAGAATGATATACAAATGGATGAAAATTATATATACATGTAACTGTAATATCCAAATATTAATATAATATATAACAACAAACCAGAGTAGACCATCCACAAGAACTTGCAGTCATCCGATGTTCAGTACTTCAGTACTTTGATTATAGTTACATGTACCCTATTTTCAACATTTGTTACACATGAATTGTTTGATCTGATATGTATTTATGTTCGAGACCTTTTTCATGACACGAGTACACAATTGTATAAATTTCATACAACATTGCATACAGATTAAATGTCCTTACTAGGAACTGCCAGTGTGTTGAGTAATTTTCTATCTTAACACCTGATAGTTGTTGGATAGAATGTTATTTTTCAACTCATCATGCATATGTATGTGTACAATGTTCGTATACTCTTGTTTTAATTATTTATACTTATTTACAATTTCATACCTTCTCGTATGCAGATACATGACATTTCTCTGGATTGTCATGGTTTAACCATGCTTTTGGGGCATATGCTCTGGTGTTTTTACAGTTGGATCCGTCCCTTGTTTTTGTCAGTCTCTCATTATATACTAGGTGTTTTTCTGGTGTACTAATCAATTTAACATCCCCCACTTCAACTGCCTATGCTCGCTCATGGCATCCTCGCAGTCCAAAATTTCTTGTATTCAATTACCACAGAAGAGTCACCAGACCTTCAGGGTTGTACATACCTCTATCATGGTCTATTCGTCAGATAATTCCACTGCATCTGAAACATATGGTCGGTTGCTCATTCCCATCTCTTTCAGTTGTTGTTTTTTTGCTGTGAGACAATCTCGAGATTTCTTGAACTCGTCATCCGTTATGGTATTCAACGTTGACTTTACAATCAACGTTTAAACTACAATGTTGATTTAACGTTAAGTTAACGTCAGTCATTCGCGACAAAAAAATCTCATTGTCAAAATTGAGGGGTACAGATATATTTGATGAGCAGATCGGACAAGGGGCAGTTTAGTAATATAAACGATTGGATTAATCAGTGGCTAATTCAAAACTTTTTATAATACTTATAAGGGGGTCCACTTACTGCCATAACTTTAGCATGAGGGGGCTTCCTTAGCTTCTGTCATCAGCTTCCATGATCTCTATATAATCAACCATTTTTTCCCACAAAAAGGGGGGAGACCGGACTGTTTATCATTGGAAAGGAGTTTTGCACAATAACAAGGAGTCATGAGACATCAGCAATAACACATCTGCTTTTTCCCTTTAATTTTTTTTTGTGTTTATTTTTTAGGTATCTTTTAAAAAAACTGTTGAAATCAAATATTTAGTCATTTGTGTTTGATGATTCTCTATTTTTGGGGGGAATCGCAAAGGCTGTTCATGCTATTTTAATTATATGTATATCTGTATGAATATGATATGTTCTTAGTTTATATTTTTAAAATCAAATCGATTTTTTAAGTTGCTTTCTTTCAATTAAATAAATAAGAGAAATTTTTCAGTTTATTTATATTATATATATATGATCTAAAAATATCATTGATGTACAATGTATTCTGTATAATAATTGCGTAGTTTTTAAATTTTCGCGGTATTTCAAGTTGAGTTCCGAAAATTTTCTTTCGGATGCGCACGCAAGCACGCGCACCTCGATTCAACATCCGTTTAGAAAATTTTTAAAATTACCCTCAAGATATTATCGCAACAGATTGATAAACAAATAGTGAAAGGAATATAAAGACAAGAGAAGACTTTTCTGTATAAACCTCTTGATATTAGTGTAAGTATATTTTACAGTTAGATTAAGGAAGAATCATAATATATGCAAACACATTCAAATGTTCAAATTATTTTTCTGTATGTTTACCATGTTTACGTTCACAGAAATTGTGATAAGGGTTATTTTGATTCATTTTCGTGTCAAAACAGTTTAATGATTTGTTTGTATATATCCTCCAATTAGCAAACTAACATAAAACATATGGCTAGCCATGTACAGAATCAGTAATATCAGAAAAGGGGGAGGGGGTCATCGAATACTAGCCAATTCGTTCCAATACAACTCGATATCATATAGGGTGTGTCTGACACACACAGAAATGGTCTGCTCTTAAGTACTGTTTTGGTCTTTTTGGTATTATCGTAAAATACCAGTCATCTTTGTTCGTTTCATCTGTATATGAACATTATGTTTATTGCAAAACACAGATCTGGTTAGAATTCATGCTTTGACTTGTTATTGATGTAAGCTTGTACAATTGTTTCAAATGGAAATGTTGCGTTTTATGATTTGAAATATGTTTTTTTTGTTATTGGTAGAATTTGATAACATTTCCGGCTTTAGTACACAACTTTTATTAGGTAATTCAAATTTATGTTCTTTCTCTTCCATGCTTTCAGATGCTGTTCTAGTCTGCCACAAAGAGATAACAGAATCCAAAATATCTAAGCAGTGTACAAGACATTTGAAGTGTGCCCCACAGAGAGCAGAACGAGTTGCCAGGCTAAAGAATAGATCTTTAAAATAAAATATTTTTTTTCATTTTAAAAACCTCTTTTTTTAATTTCTATAGTTAATTTAGTGCCAGTAAAAAAGGCAGTGAAATTAAGAAATACATTATTTGGTGTTCTGCATCTTTTTGTTCGGTTAACTCAATTGTATCGAATGTATAGATAATGATTGAATGAGTAAACAGCTTGATGATGTTATGGTTTGTTCAAAAATCCTTAAAGATAAAAGAAGAAAAAAAAAACACATATCCGGTATACCCACAAAAAGTCAAAATTCAGATCGACATGATATCAATAAAAATGAATAAAAAAGACAAAAAATAGAACTAAATATCGGATAACAAAACTCAAAATGAGATCTTTTGTTTTTAAATGGTCCTGCTATGTATTCACATTAAACAAAGAAGGCATGTTGTGTCACTGTGTCAAACTTGCTGCATTTACATGTTTTTGAATAAGTTCGAAAACTTGATCAACCAGAATCAAAACAATGTGTAGTAAGTTGATACATGTGTTCCTTTGCTTAGAGAAATTGATGTGCTAGAAAAGAAAGCTTTGTTGATATTGAAATACTTGGTTTCAAATGAAATCTTGATATTTTAACTGTCTCATTTCTTTGGTTTTGATTTTTATTGTCTACTATTCTATTTTTAGAGTTGTCACTTGTTGAGAAAAGAACTATTGATGGATATTCTAACTTGAAATAAAAAAATGGCTTTTGGTATTTCATAATTCAGATATCTTTTTGTTGTATTTGAACACGTGCCAATAAGGATTAATTTACACCTGAGAACCATAACTTTACCTAACTTCAACCAACCTACAATTGACCTGATTTCAACCTAACTCGACCTGATTTCAACCTAAACCCGACCTGATTTCAACCTAACCCAGACCTGATTTCAACCTCACTGGACCCGATTTCAACATGTTATCAACGTTAATATAATTTCAACGTCATCTCAACTTTCAAATCTAACCCAAGTTTCAACGTTGTAACAACGTTGAAGTCTGACATTGGATCAACGTTGATACAACGTTTTGTACCTGCTGGGTATAGATATATGTATCAGATATCAGAATGCGATTTCTTATCATTGCGATACTCAAGGAGTCAGTCGTACTGCTACTTTTCCCATTAACAAAACCACGCATTAATTTTTAGTTATGAGTAAAACATAAAAGATGTGCAAGTTTAAAACACAATTACAACTACAATGTTATTTCGCGTATACAAGTTTTCTTTAGTCGCCAGTATTGAATTAAAAGACGGTCTTTCTAACCATGAAAATAACTTTTTACATTTCGTGCGTCCGAAGAACTATCCTGAATACCTTTCATTAGGAGCGCTCACTCCCAAAATTTTTAAACATGGGGTGTATGAATATTCAAATATTATGTATAATAGCCTTTTTACGGGTTATTAATTCAGTTGAAACAAAATAATTATCTATTTATGTTGATTACATTATCAATGTCTCTAATTTGTTTTATAAATATTTCATAGGTTGACAAATTAACCAAAGAGCAAATTAAAGGTAAGTTACCAAAAAACAACTTGTTTGTTGACGAATGATGGTAAATTAGTAGGTGACAGGAAATCAATAAAATACCTGAAAATTACTATATCCATGTGTAGCAAAGTAAATGCACATTAATTGCAGTTCGTAGTTATTACTGACAGATTATGAGCCAATTAAACCACCACTTTAACTGGACAAACTCTTCTATACAAACACGCTTATTGCATGCTTAACCTAAAGCTTTAATTTTCAGACTGATTTTTGTTTTGTTTTTCTAGTATTTTGTTTTATTTTCATTGTTTATTTTATAGATAATTTAAAAATGATTCCAATTATTTCGGGTGTTATGCTTTATTTTCAGTAGGTTAGGAACTCTTATAGTTTCCCTTACTTTCATATTTTCAGAATGTAAGTCAGCCTTCTGTTTGTTTGATAAAGATGGTGACAGTACTATTACAACACATGAGATATGGGTTGTCATGAGATCATTAGGAAAACACCAAACAGATGAAGAACTGAAGAATATTGTAGATGATATTGATATAGATGGTTAAACCTAACGGCTATTATGGCATTCACCGTCCCCCTTTTTTAACAGTTTTTGTATTTCGGATATTTTCTGAAAGTAGTGTATCACTGTGGCTTATTTTACTTTAATTAAAGTATACTTATCTTGCTGAATGCAATATTATATTTCGATGAACACAGATCATATATGCATTTAATTTACTAAATCCCCCGCCCCCCCCCCCCCCCCCCCCCCCCCCCAAAAAAATTTGAAGATACAATTAAAAAACAAAGTCCACATATAATCTGGTCCAAAGACATATAAGTAAAGTATAAGAGGTCAGTGTAAAACATTGTAATTGGCTTACTCCGTGCTTTCATTCTTCTGGGTTTTTTCTTCTAAAAATAGCAGAACTGAAAAATGTAATACAAAATGTATTCTTATGACTAATTTTAGTGTTATAAGAAATAAAAAAAGATAAAATAAAGTAAAAAAACAATCAAGACGTGGTGAATCATAATTTAACGAATAAGTGATTGGAATTCGTGTAATTCATCTTTGAAATAAAAAGAATATATTATGGGTGTGATCCCGGCAAAAAAAAACCTTTGTTAAAAAGCAGATAAATTTGTAGCAATTACTTGTGTGATCAATATAAACATTTTCTAAGGGTTGTTTTTCTAGTTTTGTACCAAAATGAAAGAGTGGTATGATTTCCATGTGAACACACCTGTTTCTTGACCAGACTCAAGCTGGCAGCCACTTTTAGCAGCCAATCAAGATAGCAGCCACTTTTTTCGGAGGACACTGTTTGTTAAAAAAAAATGTACAATTTACAATTTAAAATCGAGGTTTTTTTTCGTTCTTTTTCTCGTTTCTGATTCCTTATGATTAGGAGGAACGGAAATAATGTAGGAATAAAAAAAAATCAGAGAACAACTACCATTGTTAATAATAGATTTAAGAAAGTTGTGAGGAATCGTGTTTTATATATAATTCCAACCAATTGGGACTGAATAAAAAAGATGCAATAGACGATATAAAAACTACATACATGCTTACCATAAACTCGGCATCCTCAAAAAATCCAGTATTTTAGTTGAAACCAATTTTAATATCTATTTCTGTATATCAATTGAAATGAAAAAAATCGATATACATGAAATGGTTATCTCATTTTTAATGTGAACAAGTATTTTCACAAAAATCCTACGTGGACTATTTTGTACGGCATGCATCAGTACCAATTCATCGATTTAAAACTGAAATTTTCCTTATCAAATGTGAAAGTACGAATAATTGACATATAACTAAAACTGTGGTGGCCATACGGGCCCGTATCCCAGAAAAATATTTAAGTGGCGAATAGCCTCGGTCAATACCTTTGAAATGAACTAGGTCTGGTTCGGAACTTTGCCGTAGTGATATGCCGAGGAGTACCGAATGTGTGGTTAATATGGAAAATTCGCTGTAAGGACAACTTTGAACCTCTGTGGTGGCCAGACGGGCCCGGATCCCAGAAAAATATTTAAGCCGGGCCCGTCTGGCAACCACAGTTTTAGTAATATGTCAATTAAATGTACTGGCACTTTTGACAAGGAATATTTTAGTTTCAAATTAATGAATTGGTAATGATGCATGCCGTACAAAATAGTCCACGTAGGATCTTTGTGAAAATACTTGTTCACATTAAAAATGAGATAACCAATATTACATGTATATCGGAATGTTTTCATGTGATATATACAGAAATAGATATTAAAAATGGTTTCAACTAAAATACTTGATATTTGAGGATGCCGAGTATATGGAAAGCATGTATGTAATTTTTCTATCGTGCATTGCATCTATTTTATTCAGTCCAAATTGGTTGGAATTATATGTATTAAACGATTTCTCACATCTTACTTCAATCTATTATTAACAATGGAAGTTGTACTTTGATTTCTTTTTTATTTTCTATTCCTACATTGTTTCTGTACCTCCTTATTATAAGGAATCAGTGGCTGCCAGCTTGAGTCTTGCTGTTTCTTGAAAGGATGATATAAATTATTTATATTTTTTTAACTTGCGCACGATTTCAATCTCATTAAAATCAGATCTTTAACTTTGCTCTGTTAGATTTGTTTGTCGTCCGTAGATGGGTATATTATTCGCATGTTGAGCAAACAGTAATGTAAATATTGCTTTTCTGATAACAATTCAAGTTGAGGTCCTCTTCGCATTCCGCGTTAACACTATGTTGATTTCTTTAAAAAAAAATTCAGATACAACTATTTGGATTTAACAACTGAACATTAAAGTGCAGTGTGTAAATTTCAAGATAATTATTATATGTACATTGTTGGAAAATATAAAATTTATTTGTACTCGCTACGAAACAGGAGAAAAGCTTAGCGAGTCTCGCGTTTCGTCTAGTTTCTTAAGCTCGTACGAATAAATTATGTATTTTCCGACTATGTACATATATTGTATATTTACATATTTCTTCTGATATATTAATGTGTCAAGCTATTCAGAGAATTTGTTTCAAGCGTAGCTTAATATAGTATTTCAATTAAAAGATGCACTTGGCGAACAGATGAATAAGTTTCGCTATATTTAAATCAAAGCACTGTAAACGCTATAGGCAGTTAACCAAAAACCAAGGCAAACGTAATTATGAAAACTGTGGCAGTGTTGCTTCAATTTTTTTGAAAGAACAAACATTAAACATTCGTATATTGTACATGTATGTTTATTTAATGAATTGATTATTAAGGCAAAATTAATTAATATTTATCAAGATTTTCAAAAGCAATGCATATATCAATGTATATTTCTAATGATGAGTTTGTAGTGGTACAAGTTCGCAATGATTGCAGTTGTTCTACTTGATATTTCACGTTGGTGCCAGTTGACTTTAAGTGGTACAAGTTGACGTAGTGTAGTACGAGTTTGTAATAGTATGAATGAACTTGTTTTCCTGGCAGGAACACTGAGGTTTACTACTACAGGGATCAAAGGTGA